TTTGATGAGCGTGAATTTTATTTTATATAGGACTGGACGCGGAGTGTAAGAACAACGATGATTGTAAAATAAGGAATTCGGATTGCCAGAACAGCAAATGCGCTTGTAAGAAATATTTCTTTGTGCAAGCCGGGCAATGTGCAGCAGGTAAGACCTTTTCCTATCTATTAGTTGAGAATTTTTAATGAGCGTGAATTTTATTTATATAGGACTGGACGCGGAGTGTAAGAACAACGGTGAGTGTCAAATAAGGAATTCGGATTGCCAGAACAACAAATGCGCTTGTAAGAAATATTTCTTTGAGAAAGCCGGGCAATGTGCAGCAGGTAAGACCTTTTCCTATCTATTAGTTGAGAATTTTTGATGAGCGTGAATTTTATTTTATATAGGACTGGACGCGGAGTGTAAGAACAACGATGATTGTCAAATAAGGAATTCGGATTGCCAGAACAGCAAATGCGCTTGTAAGAAATATTTCTTTGAGCAAGCCGGGCAATGTGCAGCAGGTAAGACCTTTTCCTATCTATTAGTTGAGAATTTTTGATGAGCGTGAATTTTATTTTATATAGGACTGGACGCGGAGTGTAAGAACAACGGTGAGTGTCAAATAAGGAATTCGGATTGCCAGAACAGCAAATGCGCTTGTAAGAAATATTTCTTTGTGCAAGCCGGGCAATGTGCAGCAGGTAAGACCTTTTCCTATCTATTAGTTGAGAATTTTTAATGAGCGTGAATTTTATTTTATATAGGACTGGACGCGGAGTGTAAGAACAACGGTGAGTGTCAAATAAGGAATTCGGATTGCCAGAACAACAAATGCTCTTGTAAGAAATATTTCTTTGAGAAAGCCGGGCAATGTGCAGCAGGTAAGACCTTTTCCTATCTATTAGTTGAGAATTTTTGATGAGCGTGAATTTTATTTTATATAGGACTGGACGCGGAGTGTAAGAACAACGATGATTGTAAAATAAGGAATTCGGATTGCCAGAACAGCAAATGCGCTTGTAAGAAATATTTCTTTGTGCAAGCCGGGCAATGTGCAGCAGGTAAGACCTTTTCCTATCTATTAGTTGAGAATTTTTAATGAGCGTGAATTTTATTTATATAGGACTGGACGCGGAGTGTAAGAACAACGGTGAGTGTCAAATAAGGAATTCGGATTGCCAGAACAACAAATGCGCTTGTAAGAAATATTTCTTTGAGAAAGCCGGGCAATGTGCAGCAGGTAAGACCTTTTCCTATCTATTAGTTGAGAATTTTTGATGAGCGTGAATTTTATTTTATATAGGACTGGACGCGGAGTGTAAGAACAACGATGATTGTAAAATAAGGAATTCGGATTGCCAGAACAGCAAATGCGCTTGTAAGAAATATTTCTTTGTGCAAGCCTGGCAATGTGCAGCAGGTAAGACCTTTTCCTATCTATTAGTTGAGAATTTTTAATGAGCGTGAATTTTATTTTATATAGGACTGGACGCGGAGTGTAAGAACAACGATGATTGTCAAATAAGGAATTCTGATTGCCAGAACAGCAAATGCGCTTGTAAGAAATATTTCTTTGAGAAAGCCGGGCAATGTGCAGCAGGTAAGACCTTTTCCTATCTATTAGTTGAGAATTTTTGATGAGCGTGAATTTTATTTTATATAGGACTGGACGCGGAGTGTAAGAACAACGATGATTGTCAAATATGGAATTCTGATTGCCAGAACAGCAAATGCGCTTGTAAGAAATATTTCTTTGAGCAAGCTGGGCAATGTGCAGCAGGTAAGACTTTTTCCTATCTATTAGTTGAGAATTTTTGATGAGCGTGAATTTGATTTTATAGGACTGGACGCGGACTGTAAGACCAACGAAGAGTGTCAAATAAGCGATTCTGAGTGTCAAAAAAAGAAGTGTACTTGTAAGAAAACTTTCTTTGAGTTTCATGGAAAATGTAATGCAGGAGGTGAGACGCCTGTTGTCCATCTAATAGTGACTCATTTGAATTCTATATTTGTTTTTTCATAGGACTGGACGCGGAGTGTACGACCGACGATGATTGTCTAATAAGAAATTCGGATTGTCAGAATGGTCAGTGTGCTTGTAAGAAAACTTTCTTTGAGTTTGAAGAAAAATGTAATGCAGGAGGTAAGACGCCGGTTGTCCATCTAATAGTGACTCATTTTAATTAAATATTTGTTTTTTCATAGGACTAGACGCAGAGTGTAAGACCAAGGATGATTGTAAATTAAGCAATTCTGAGTGTCAAAATAAGAAATGCACTTGTAAGAAAACTTTCTTTGAGTTTGAAGGAAAATGTAATGCAGGAGGTAAGATCTTTTATTCCTATCTATTATTTAAGAATTTTTTATAAATTTTGATTTTTTTTTATGTAGGACTCGACGCGGAGTGCAAGACCAACGATGACTGTAAAAAGGAAAATACAGTTTGTCATGAGAAAACGTGTAAGTGTGAACCAAAGTTTGTGGTTATACCAGACAAGGAGAAATGCCTTCCTCGTAAGTAGTTACTATTCAAACAGAAAGATTTTTCAGCTAATCTATTGAGGTTTTGACAATACATATTTTATTTTTCTCAAAGAATCACAGTATAATGGAACCTGTGAATACAATATTCAATGTTCATCGGTTGTGGAAAATACATTCTGTAAGATAACTGGGCAATCATCACACTGTGACTGTATCGAAAAGTACAACTACAAAGACGGAAAATGTAATTCTTCTACGGTTGCACAATCGATGTTATTCCTTGTGATGCTTGCAGCACTATTATCGAAATTGCTACTGTAAGAAAGTCTAAATTAATTTTGTGAATTTATGTGAATATGTTTTTAAAGATTACTCGGTTGTCATCACTAATAAATTTGTAAAACTTGCATTATTACCTATTTGCACCATTCCGTAAATAAAATGTCACTGAATACTAGTTACGTCAAATTGGTAAGTGATATATGTGTTCTATTCATTTACTATTGCATATTAATTAATTGAACGTTATTGCTATTTTTCTATTATGTAATTGTCATTACACTGAGTCAAACATTATTATCATTAATTGAATATCCAAATTTCCTAATGCTCATGACTTCGAAAGATCTTATTTAAACTGTTTTATACATAGTTTGTATCCTATTAATAATAAATTATATTTCTAGGAAACACGTCGTTTTTCATTGCAGCTATAAACATTTATCAATATTCTAACATTCCTTTATCACAAATTACCTACTCATTTACTTTGGTCTAGTTGTACAATAAATCCTTTTTTTATTAGTTAATATTAGTGCAAAATCGTTTTTCATTTATGTGACTATTGTAAACATTTCTTTACATCAAGCATAAAATTTTTATTTGAATTATTAGCTATGTTTCGAAAGCAGCGCAACATTAGAAAGAATGTAAATACGAAGCTACAAAGCTCTTCCTCGTACGTTTTGTAACATTACGGCAGAGAAAAAATAAAAATGATAAATGAATATCGAAATAATATTCATTAATTTTAGTTATATACACGGTTAGATCATTACTACTCAAAATCTGACAAGTGTTTTACAACGAATGCTTACTACGCATTACGAACCATCGGTTGTTCGAAGCATATATATTCATTTATGGAGAATCGAATTAGTTAATAATACTAATATTGCGCTGCTTTTTCCTATTTTGTAGTTACTATTATATCATTGACGCCATAAATACTATTGTAAATAGTGGATTGTGTGAAAAGTTTTTTTATCCTAATTTATAATTGTATAAAACAAACTTTTTTCTCTCGTTTTGAATTATTAAAACGTATTCTTTTTTAATATATTTGCGCGTATATCGCTTATTTTCATTACATCCCTTGTTATAACAATGATTAATGCAGCATTCACAAACTTAGGTATATAACCTTCAATAATATAGGGTTCTGATACGTTTGTTCCGGGAGTGTGTGTTCGTTTGGTGCATGCGAGATATAGTAGTAACTTTCTGTTGTTGGCACTATCAAAATTTTTAGCGATTTGTATGCGTTTGTACGTCGTTGTACGGACGCGTATGCGCATATATGGCGAGGGCCTTAAAAAATAAATATTATTTCTCACTACAGTCATATACATATGCACCTGACAGATCAGTCGGTAACATAAATCTGTACACTTTTATTATTGTAAGGCTCAATCTCAAATTATAAGAGCTGTATTAATAGGAATGGGTTATTTTCTGAAATAACCGCCAATGTCAACTATTGTTGTGTATTAATTAATAGTTGACATTTACTTCCTGCTGAGTCCCTTTAGCCGTCAAGGTGATCTTTTCGAGCGCGCGATTGATCGGGTTACGTCTTTGTTTTTTTCGTCTGATCAGGGCGATATAACGTAAGTTACGTCAGTGATGTGATTGGCGATCAACATAAGCTTGAATTTATCAATTGTAAAGTTAAAAGAAATTCTTTTTCGTTAAAACGTATCGCCCATTCCTTGCAGACACTCGGACTCCCTAGCTGCATATGTAATCCCACCTTTTTGCCTTTCCAAACTGAATGACTCGAACGAAAACCAGCCGCCAAACGAGGTACCAAAAAACTGATGCCGAAGCACGAGTCGCATAAATTATCACGCTCGTCCTTTTTATTTCTTCTATCGTCTACTTTTACGACTCACATTGTGTGTGTGCATGAGTGTGCGCGCGCGAACGCACGTGTTTGTGTATTACAGACGTATATATGCAAAATTGCAAGCCTCGTCGACGACTTTAATATCCCATCGACATGCGACTAGCCCGTCTGGCATTTTACTTGATAATCATGAAAATCGTTTTTCCGGTGCGGCGCGAAATTTCAATTGAAGTGTTTGGCTCTTATCGAGCAGTCAGATCACACTTTGTAATATGTACTTTTTTCTTTGCATGTTTAACAAAGTTTATGTGGTCTTTTTGGAGAACGTTCTTTTGATGAATCTACTTAATGATTTTGATTTGTAGAAGGCGAATAAGTGTTTGAGGAAAAATAAAAATAAAAATTGTGTAGGTTACTTCAAATCATTTATTTTTCATCGATACGATGTATCTCGATGTAGAGAACAAATATAACATTATACCATGTACAATAATTGTACAGTAGTATTTTTCATAACTGTTGAATAACCACAAATAATTTATCAATACTAAATAAGGATATATCTTGAGTAAAGTGATCCATTTGATACTACAATATTTGGTACAATTTATCTCGTTTTTTTTCTTGATGAAAGAAATTTATACTGATTTCACGTATGACAAAATTGTTACAACTATTGGAATGTGGTAAGATTATGCTTGAACATGAATTCCTATACTGGCGGTTATTTCCAAATCTCAATTATGCGAATTTTGAACGAATCTATATGAATAAAAATCAGTACAAACATTTTTCACCCAGAAAAACAGTCCGATTCGTTTTTACTACCATATTCAAGTAATTTGTTACACATTCTCATTATCGTTAACATTATATTTTCCAAAAAAAAATCTATTTCAAACTTAGCGATAATTTCACAGTTAAACACACGTATGGCAAACTTGCGCAGTGGTTAAGTGGAAATACACTTTTCTGTACATTGCAATCGCGAAAAATGCGTTTATTATTATTAGGCACACCTTTGGAACCCAACTAACCCAAAATCGATGAATTTATAAAACAAAGTAAACTATTATATTCAACAATGAGTAGTAGGTTATATAAACAATAATTTTTAAATCATTACAAAAACATCTATCAACTGCATACATACACATCATATTCGGAACGATGAATGTACAAAAGGTTCAATGTACATTTCTACTTGTTTGAAGATCAGAATACCATTTTTTATAGAATGCCGATGTAACAACACTTTAATATGAATTTTCATGTTGCATCAAACGAAAAAATACAGTAATAATCATATACACATCTATACACGCTAATATACAAATTACTTACGTCAACAGTTATTGGGTATTACATTTTTGAATCTGAACGTCAGTGAGCGATCTTTCAGAGAGAAAAAAATTATATGCGTTTTTATGACAGTTAAAAGCTTCTAATTGAAACGCAGTTAACAAAACAAAGTACCGTCATTTCAAATTGTTAAACATCTCACTCCTGAGCAGTAACGGTTATAGTTTTTCCTTTAGGGTCATCGAAGCGATCCATTGTGCGAATGTCCATAATCATCGATATACCCCATATCATAATCAGTCCTAAAATAAACGTAACAAAAAGTCCCATCCAAATGGGCACCGTCGTGAAACCAACGCAATCGTAAGCGTCACCAAAAACAGTTGTATTCAGTTGTACTTGTATATCAGTGAGGTTCAACACGATCATATTCAAAACTTTTTTATCTGGATCTGGATATACGTAAGAAAATAGAATACTGTTGCTGCAGTGGTACGAGAAATTAGTAGTTGGGAATTCGATGTTAGTTTTACTCTTCAGGACTATTGGGTTATCTGATTTGTTTTCTACGGCATAAGTAATGTCTACTAACTTAACGTATCCGTTCAAAACATTGAAATCAGCTACCAAAGTCACAGTTCCCAATTTATCTGACGCAAAATTCATCTGCACTTCTGTGCGGTTCTTCTCAAGTTTCTTTATTGACGAACTTAGCAACGTCTTCAACTCATATTCCGTACCGTTAATCTGTAAAAAAAAAAAATGAAATAACATTTTATATTTCTACTTTAGAAATTTATTTGTTGATTATATCGACAGACCTTCAACATAGGCTTCTTTTCGGCATACAGCAGAATTTTTCCGTCTGGGGCTACGATCCACGAATCCGAATCTGCTTTTGGGTCATCTGCTGCTCTCTTGATACGTTCCGAAGATGAATAGCTGCAGGATTTTCCAGTTAAAGCAATCACAAGATTTGGACTGGATTCTCGAATCACATTGTACACGTCGGGAATGGCATTGATATCGTTGATCGGTACTTCTACCAATTGACCATCGACGACTGTTTCAAAATCGTCTTCCACAGTTATGTTGTAATTTGGTAGATTTTCAAAAGTCGATATAGCCGATTCCACTGATGCTAAATAAGTCAGTGATCCAGCCTTGTTCAGTTGTTGCAAGCTCTGTAATAACAAATGTATTAAATGATCAATCAAACATTCAAGCACGTAAAATAAACTCTTAATATAGACTACATTGTTTTTTCCAGTATCACTATCGGCGAAACAATATTCATGTAATGAGAGAAGATAAAGCATTTAAATTTGACTTGCCGCGCTTTTCTTATTGATTCTGCGCATCTCGTGTCGCAAGTCACGCGAGTCATGTGATTACCCGAGTGTATGAATTGTGGCGCATCGGAGTCCTCAGGTACCCACAGCCATTAAAACGAAACGAACGAACGAACGTACCCGAGTGTAGTGAGCATTTTGGAGAATTTTTAAATGCCTAATAAAAATGACTTGTCAATTTATTAAATATTTGCATTGAAAGTATAAATATAATTTTCTACTTTCATAAGATGCTATAGATATAGATAAAAAATTGAATCAATCAATAATCAAAATTGAATAAGGAAACAGAATGCAATATATGTTAAAATAGTTATGGGTTCTAAAATAAATAGTATGATTAGATGGTAAATATCTCTCAAATGTCTATATAATAAAAAATTCAAAATTGAAATGTTTTCTCCATATGCGACAACATTTCTAACAGGGTATAAGAGAAGTGTTTGACATCATTAAAATTACTTTTCACTTGTTGTTTCACATGAAGTTGATTAAGTACATTATATAATAAAATTTTTTTTAATTAAGTATAAAATATGTATAGTACTATCATTATCATGAAATTTATAGCCAATAGAGTATACCTACTATTGGATAGTGACTTTTTTATAATTTACAATTTAAAATTTTATAATTTATAATTTACATAGATTTTAGAAGTTTATGTAAACATTTTAATAGTTTAATTCAATTAATATTCCAGCCACTGATTAAATTTTAGGTTGTATGAATGAATCATAACTTAACTTAAAATAGCACAAATAGGAATCTCACAAAAAAAAGCTAGGAAACAACAAATTCTTTTAAAAAAAATACTTTTACAAAATTGAACTAGAGCTATTGATTTTCCCCAAAACTATCACATTCAATATTATTTTAACTCTAATAAAATGTTCAAACTGACATACTTCCTTTGAGTAAAATTGTTTTGAAAATTGAATTGTTTTTAATCAAATGCATATTCTGTATAATACTGATAATAATATTAAATTAATAGTTCAATGATTTTTTAGTCATTCTTTCGAAACACAATTTCATAATATAAAATATGTTTGATTCCAAACATTGATTCCAAGACAAGTTCATGAATAAAAGATAAATAAATAGTATATTATTACAAACCTCTTTGTGATACTTAATTTCCTCAACACAGAAATTCTCTTTGACGAAGACCATTATAGGTGGTTGAGTCTTAGCCACTCGCTCAATCAGAACCTTCTCAAATTCTGACCTTGAAGTTTTGTGCAGAGGATTAATGAGGTCATGGGATGCGTCTCCAGACCAAAGTAGCACAGGAACAACATTTCCCGATCGCACGACGATCAATTGAACGAACGCAATAGAGGCGAGGAGTAGCCAGGAACTCGCCATATTTGTTGGATCACGACTTTTCAGTGAGAATCAGTATCTTGACGAAAGCTGACTTGTTTTTGCTATCGTTCCTGGACTAAACTTGAACTTTTTGATAATCAGCTATACACGAAAAATAATTAATTACTTACAGAGAATAGATAAAAAAGAGTTTAATAAGTTTAGAAAAAAAGAACGAACTTACAAAGTTATAACCTACAAGCAACTACTGCTTGTGATTGTCACATGATATTGGCTTTTTCCTTCTGCTCTACTCGAATGGCCAGGGGGGCGTAGGTTCTGCTCAGCCGGTATTATAGTTGTCATATGATTTCATCACATGATACACTTATGTATACGAAATATGCCGCGTAAATTCGAATCCAATTTACATTCTATTATTTTTGTTATTAATAATTTCAAAACTTTTCAGAATAATTTAATAAAATTTTGAAATCATTAGTGTAAATAAATAATCATATATATTTCGACTAACATATTTACGATCTATTTAGATTTCATAAAATTTGTAGAATTATACGCTCTTAATTTTACTGTAAGCTTTTGTTTCGTAATCAGTATTTTTTATCTATATTAAAGTGACTTTAAACAAACTATAGTGGATAGTGCCTAAATTACTTCAGATTACTAATTCAAAAATCTTGAGGAGAATCCTATCTATCTGACTTTATTGCTATTTCTGGTTAAAAAAAATATAGTTAATAATATCCATTTTTTATAATCTCATTGTTACATCGTGTCTATCAATTACAACATTGAATAATAAAATATAATAGTCACGTCCATGTAAGTGGGATACTAATGAACAAATGTTTATTTATTTCTTTATTTGTTTACAATTTATGAATAGTAAATTAGTAAACTGATGATGTTAACTAGTTCAGCACCAGCATATATAACATTTATTTTCTTGGGTATTCGCAATATCTTATTTTACACTCTGTAACAAACAGTCCGTTTATCACTCAATTAAGTATGTCGAGAATGCGTTTCACAATGTCCATGGAAAATCGATTGCAAAGAAATCAGTAAATAATAAGTCAAATAGTAAGGAATGCCTAGGTTCGGGCAATAATATGACTTCGAGCGAATTGACGATTCCCGCACACGGCAAAACAGCCGCTTGAGCAAAACGGCTTTGTAGCGTCGTAGCATTTCAGCCGTTTTTTACATATTTAGCTCTGCGATTTCAAATATAATAATCTTAAGCCTAAAAGAAAAAGTTTCAAATAAAAGTTTGTTTTTTCACTCCAAATACATTAGTTTACTTGTAAATCAGGGAAAAGCACAACGTTTTCAAAATCATAATGTTTTCTTTTACTTATTATTTTTCAAGCTGCAGAGATGAATATAGAAAGAAATGCTAATATTCATCTGCATTATCTCGTTGATTTAATTTACAAAATCAATGTCAATCATCATCAAATTATTGTCGTAAGCATTTTTTTTTAAATCGAATTTTTTCCTTTTGTAGGAAAATAGTAAACGCAACATGTGCGAAATATAGATGATCAATCTTAAGAATGCCAACTACAAATAAGTGTGCTAATATTTTCAATAAAATCACCTACAAAATTCATCATATCCCTTATTTAATAATTATTAATAGAATATTAACAAGCTAAAAAATTCAAAAGCTTTCTTGAAGCCTTAAATATTAATATTAATATTGAAGTTGAAATGGGAATCGAATCTCAGTTTGATATTCAATCATATACATCGCGATTAATGATTGAACTGACATCATTGACATCATGACGACAAATCGCCGTTATCAGTTTAATAAAATAGGTCAAGGGAATTGATTACGACGCAATGAATCCCCCTTATAATATAAGGATAATTTATATGTTTATACTTGATAATCGGAAGAGGTAAAATTTCTTTTCATATAAAATAAGCCTGTAAAAATATATCATTGATTAAAAGTGTCAATACTTAAATGAATTCACTTTCAATATCCGACATTATACAAAAATTTAATATTAACTAAACATATTGCCTCAGAATTTCTATTATAACAGTCGATAAAGAAAATATATAAGAATTTCTTTTGAAAAGCAGTAAATTCTTATGAAAACAAATGATATTATAAGACGTTTATTGAAATGTAAATTTTGTAAAAAAAAATATCTAAACATAATTGTCCGAAAATACACAATCAAGCCATCTATCTGAGGCCGTGAACGCGGGGTGAAATGAACTTTTAGTTGGTGTGAGAATAACTTTATTTAATCCAAACTAAGACTTACAAATATAACGCGACTCGGCAGAACGTAAACCGCGAAGCTGGCAGAAGGCCGAGCTGTTAGCTAGTCTCGAGTTCGGGCTAGAGTGTCTAAAACTCGCCCCAGCTACATGGCGCTTCTCCTTGGAAAATCCCGTGAAAAGGGCAAGTCCCTCCCACGAGGTCCGTGGAAAGGGTAGCTGGGACCGCGGGTTAACATTAAAAAACGAAGGTTAGGCGTGCGCTTTCCCTTAAACAAACTCATTAACGCGGATGCGCGACCGTCGACGTTTAATGTGTTTATTGCAGTCTCCAGCAATTCGTTCTAAATTTATGAAGTTCTTTTTTGCATAAAACTTCTGGCCAACACGTGGAGGGAAAGTGCACGCCACATATCTATTCCAATTGTAAAAGATTAAATTTTTCAAAGTAAGCAGTTAAAAATTTGTTGCAATAAATCATAAAATGTTATACCGTAATCAAGCCAATAATGAAACAGGATTAGCTTGTGAGCCTTCAAGTGAGCCTAAATCTATTGAAATCAGTTGGAGTGTTTCAGAGACGTACGCTAATATGAAATAATTGAGGTCAAATACAGAATCTCTTGTTGAAATGGGCAAAAAGAAATAATCATCTGCGTCTTAAGCGAGTAAAAAAGTAGAATAATTCGATGTTACTTATCGTTTATTTATTCCAAATGATAGCTAACTTGTGTGTGTGTGTGTGGGAGGGGGGGGGTGTAGTTGGCTTTATTGAATGGAACAATTCTGACCATGATATTGAATTTAATTGACCTTGTTATAAACCTATATTTGTATAGCTGAAAATCTTAACCTTACCAACTTTCTGAATTGAACTATTAAATATCGTAATTGGAGAAATCTTGTTATCCGAGTTGTAAAACAGTTCTGCAAAATTGTTGGTATCCCAAAAACAATTATCCAAATGTTTACAATTTTAGATATTTGAATTTCAATAATCATAAGTTTGGCTTTCGTTAAATTATTATTCTAATTTTAAGTTTTTGAACGACTTTATATATATTCAACATAATTTATATTTATTTTTCGTGTGTATGTTTGCATATCTCTGGAAGAGTTTATGTGAATTCGATGGGGGAGACACATTTGAAAGGATATGCCTGCGAATTGGTTTAATATTATTGCTGGCTTAATAAGAGCATAGATTTCCAAGTAACTGCAGAAAAATGAAGTCGATGTAGATAATTTTTGGAAAAATTATTATATTACTTTTCATCTTTATATCATTGCCGTTGAAAATTCACAATTAATGTTATATCTATTTCTGTAAAATAACTTATTTTTGTTACTTGTTAAATTGCTTTATATCTATCGCTGGTTATCAAAAGATATCATTTCATTATCAACGCTGCTATAAATTGAGCGAATTCGATCCTACAGTACATTATAATCGATAGCAAACAATTCTAGTGTTTGCGAGGTGAATAACTTTTTGAATGGTCGATCTGAAAGCGTTCTGAAAGCATGTATACACTAAGATGGATAATTCTCTTAATTTCTATACATGCAATTTTGTGTGGACGTGAGTGATTTTTTATTTAATAAATTGATACTTATATAAAAAATTATTTTGTAAAATATTTGAACAATTAAGATATTTCTAAATCGGTACACGAGAGACTTTCGCATATAGCTTGTAATAGCAATAGCGGTTGCAAGATCTCCAATTCTCACTGCTACCAAGAAACTTGCAAATGTAATCCCGACTACTTATTCGACGAGTTCAAATGGAAATGCTTGAAAAGTAGGTATTTGACGTTTTCTTTGACCAATCCTTAACCAGAGTAAATAGTCATAAATCATTTTGTAAAAATAAAGTATAAGCTTCTCATGACAATACCTGGTTTTGAATCTCAGATCAACCAGAATTATGCTTGAATTTGTTCGTAACAATAATGAAAATTTGAGTATTTTTGTCCTTCCAGACTTAGGAACGCATTGTAATGACAAGAAAGAATGCGAGATACCGAATTCTGATTGCAAGAATAAAATATGTACTTGTATGGAACACTACATTCAGCATGAACAACAATGTGCCGCAGATAAAATTTCTAATGACAATTTATTAGTTCCTGAAGTAATATTCAATGTGAATTTTATTTTATATAGAACTGGACGGGGAGCGTAAGATCGACGCTAATTGTAAAATAATAAATTTCTATTGCCGAATTAACAAGTGCACTTGTAGGGAAGGTTTCATTAAATTTGCAGAAAATGTTATCTAAAAAGTAATACTTCTTTATATACCACTTACAAGTTACTCGTTTCAATTTAATATGCATTACATTTCATATAGGACTGGACGCGGCGTGTAATATCAAGAATGACTGTAAATTAGAAAATTCTGATTGCCAGAACAGCAAGTGCGTTTGTAAGAAAAGTTTCTTAAGGATCAATGGAAAATGTGAACCAGGAGGTAAAACTTCTTATGGCTATGTTATATAGTATATTGTATAGTTGATGATTTTTATTTGATGTGAATTTAACTTTATAAAGGACTCGACGCGAAGTGTAAGATCAACGATGACTGTAAATTAAGCAATTCGGATTGCCAGAAGGGCAAATGCACTTGTAAGAAAACTTTCTTTGAGTTTCATGGAAAATGTAATGCAGGAGGTGAGACGCCTGTTGTCCATCTAATAGTGACTCATTTGAATTCTATATTTGTTTTTTCATAGGACTGCACGCAGACTGTAAGACCAGCGATGAGTGTCAAATAAGCAATTCTGAGTGTCAAGAAAAGAAGTGTACTTGTAAAAAAACTTTCTTTGAGTTTTAAGGAAAATGTAATGCAGGAGGTAAGACGCCTGTTGTCCATCTAATAATGACCCATTTTAATTCAATATTTGTTTTTTCATAGGACTAGACGCAGAGTGTAAGACCCAGGATCATTGTAAATTAAGCAATTCTGAATGTCAAAATAATAAATTCACTTGTAAGAAAGATTTCTTTGAGAATGCCGGGCAATGTGCAGCAGATATGAATTTTATTTCCATCTACTAATTGAGAATTTTAAATCAATATGAATATGATTTTTCTAGGACTTAATGCTCCATGCAGCATAAACAACGACTGTAAAAAGGAAAATACAGTTTGTCATGAGAAAACATGTCAGTGTAAGCCAAAGTTTGTGGTTATACCAGACAAGGAGAAATGCCTTCCTCGTAATTAGTTACTATTCAAACATAAAAATTTTTCAGCTAATCCATTAAGGTTTTGAGAATACATATTTTATTTTTCTCAAAGAATCACAGTATAATGAAACTTGTGAATACAATATTCAGTGTTCATCGGTTATGGAAAATACATTCTGTAAGATAACTGGGCAATAATTCTGTGCTTGTATCGAAAAGTACAACTACAAAGACGGAAAATGTAATTCTTCTACGGTTGCACAATCGATGTTATTCCTTGTGATGCTTGCAGCACTATTATCGAAATTGCTACTGTAAGAAAGTCTAAATTAATTTTGTGAATTTATGTGAATATGTTTTTAAAGATTACTCGGTTGTCATCACTAATAAATTTGTAAAACTTGCATTATTACCTATTTGCACCATTCCGTAAATAAAATGTCACTGAATACTAGTTACGTCAAATTGGTAAGTGATATATGTGTTCTATTCATTTACTATTGCATATTAATTAATTGAACGTTATTGCTATTTTTCTATTATGTAATTGTCATTACACTGAGTCAAACATTATTATCATTAATTGAATATCCAAATTTCCTAATGCTCATGACTTCGAAATACCTTATTTAAACTGTTTTATACACAGTTTGTATCCTATTAATAATAAATTATATTTCTAGGAATCACGTCGTTTTTCATTGCAGCTATAAACATTTATCAATATTCTAACATTCCTTTATCACAAATTACCTACTCATTTACTTTGGTCTAGTTGTACAATAAATCCTTTTTTTATTAGTTAATATTAGTGCAAAATCGTTTTTCATTTATGTGACTATTGTAAACATTTCTTTACATCAAGCATAAAATTTTTTTTGAACTATTAGCTATGTTTCGAAAGCAGCGCAACATTAGAAAGAATGTAAATACGAAGCTACAAAGCTCTTCCTCGTACGTTTTGTAACATTACGGCAGAGAAAAAATAAAAATGATAAATGAATATCGAAATAATATTCAGTAATTTTAGTTATATACACGGTTAGATCATCACTACTCAAAATCTGACAAGTGTTTTACAACGAATGCTTACTACGCATTACGAACCATCGGTTGTTCGAAGCATATATATTCATTTATGGAGTTAATAATACTAATATTGCGCTGCTTTTTCCTATTTTGTAGTTACTATTATATCATTGACGCCATAAATGCTATTGTAAATAGTGGATTGTGTGAAAAGTTTTTTTATCCTAATTTATAATTGTATAAAACAAACTTTTTCCTCTCGTTTTGAATTATTAAAACGTATTCTTTCTTAATGTGTGTGTGTTTTGCGTCCGTTGATATGTGTATTTTTGAAAATATGGTTTCAATGATCAATTATAAAAGTCATCTTTTTATATTATTTTGCTGTTATATGATTAGAAAACGCGTTATTGTTTGATGCTATGACGTCTATTATAGTTACATTTTTTCACTTTTATAAAGATTGGCATTATAAGCACGTTCATAAATTAAACAAAATTTTTTATTTTGAATATGTTTTATCTTGAAACTGTTTATACACTCAAACAATATAGGATAGAGAAAAAGTCTATTTCTGTAGGTAATATTATTAAATATATGTATATCATTAAATTTTCGAAATTTCATACACTGTTGAATGTTTCAATTATTTGCTTAAATTTATATGCCTTTTTTTTATTGGCATTAAAATCTGACTACGATCGAAGCTTTGTCGATAAAATGAAAATCTACATAAATGCCATCTTTTCATGCTCTTCTCAGTCCAGAGATGGAGTTTGAACATTAACAATTGTATGCGAAAAAAATTTGAAATATCGGAAATTAAGGAACTTCCGATAGTTGACAGGTCTGAATCCTTTGTTTATATTTGTTCAATCGCGACTTTTCAATGAAAATCAGACTCTTCATGAAAGCTTAGTTGTTTTCAAGAAAGGATTTTCTAGTTAATATGGTTACAAAATGATTCTTTTTGTAACAATTGAATCATTTTATTGAAAAAGAAATAATTTTGTATTAAAAGTATTTACTCAAAAAATGTTAGTGTAACTATAACATTTATGGTATAATATTTGCGCGTATATCGCTTATTGTCATTACATATAACAATGATTAATGCAACATTCACAAACTTAGGTATTCAAAAGTTTTCTTGAAGCTTTGAATATCAATATTAATATTGAAGTTGAAATTAGAATTGAAACTTAATTTGAGATTGAATCAGATAGATCACGGTTAATAATCGTACTTACATCATTTTTGAAATACGATGAATCACTGTTATCAGTTTAATAAGCTAAAGCGAGGAAATTATTTTCTTTATCAACTTTTATAACACAGTGAATCTAAAGAGATAAAATTCTTTTTCTTCAAATAGATTAGAAAAAATATATATTGTACATTAAAGGCAAAAACACTGTAATAAATCCATTTTTATCATTACACAACATTATACAAAAATTCAATAGAAATTAAACATAGTTCATCAGAATTTCTATTATAACAGTTGAGAAAGAAAATATGTATACAGGAGTTTCTTTCCTACATCAGTAAATTATTATGAAAACAAGTGATGTAATAAGAAGTTTATTGAAATGTAAATTTTGTCAAAAGAAAAATATCAAAACATAATTGTCAAAAATTACACAATCTAACCATCTATTCCAATTATAAAAGATTAAGTTTTTCAAACTAAGCAGTTAAAAATTTGTTGCAATTATTCATCAAATTGCTCTAATCAAGCCGATAATGAAACGTGATTAGTTTGCGAATATATATCCATTCGAATGAGCCTAAAATCATTAAAATTAGTTGAAGGGTTTTGGAGATCTGCACAAGCATGAAACAATTATGGTTAAAAACATAATCTCCTGTTGAAATGTCTAAAAAGAAATAATTATCTGCATCTCAATCGAATAAAAAATGTAGAATAACTTGATGTTACTTATCGTTTATTTATTTCAAATATGAAAGCTCACTGAAATACACACACACACACACGCACAAACTATAAGTTTTTATCGATGTATTTAGTTAGCTTCACTGAATGGAATAATTCTGACCATTTGATTTTTGTTATCCGAGTTCTAAAACGTTTCTACAAAATTGTTAGTATCCCTAAAATAATTTTCCGAATAGTTACGATTTTAGATATTTGAATTTCAATAATCATAAGCTTGGCATCGCTAAATTATTTTTTAATTTTCAATTTTTGACCGACTTTATGAAAGGAAAAAATTCTATATATTAGACATAATTTATATTTATTTTGTGTGTGTATGTTTTAATATCTCTGGAAGGAGTCATGTGATTTCGATGGGAGCGGCATATTAGGTTTTCTGGCTGGCTTGATTAGGGCATAGCTTTCCGAGTAATTGCAGAAAAATAAAATTGAAGTAGACATTTTTTAGGAAAATAATTATATTATTTTTTTTCTTTACGTCAGCTTACAATTAATGTTATATCAATTTTTATTAAATAACTTGTTTTTATTGCTCATTCTATACTTCATATCTATTGGTTATTATCAGAAGATATCGAATGTTACATTATCAACGCTTTTATAAATTGAGCGTATCTGAGGCTACAGGGCATTATCGATATACGGCAGCAAACATTTTTACTATCCCCGAGGTGAATAACACTCTTTAAATAGTCGATCTAAAAGAGTTTTAAAAGCATGGATACACTAAAATGGATTATTCTCTTAGTTTCTGTACCTGTAATTTTATGTGAAAGTGAGTGATTTTTTATACAATAAATTGATATTTATTTAAAAAAACTATTTTATAAAATATTTGAACAATTAAGATATTACTAATGTGGTACACGAGAAATATTCGGATACAGCTTGTAACGGTAATAACGCTTGCGAGATCCTTAATTTTCACTACGGCAGAGAAACTTGCAAATGTAATTCCAGCTACTTTGGATGACTCTTAGATGTATCATTGTTGATTCACAATAATAAAATAATGTCTAGTTGATATCAAATACCAACATGAACAGAGCGAATGTAGAATTGTAATTCTAACTTTACAGTCAAAGCGCAATATCATTTACCACTTAATAGATAGAACTTTAATGTGCGCACTTGAACCGTTTCGGAAATCTAATATTAAAAAACTTCAAAATATTTTGGTAGGAAATGATTATTCATGAGACTTCATTCGGCATGTATTGCTCTTCGTACACCAAAATTTAATTACAAACGTCTCTGTGAAGATAAAAATTGCTGTTTTGGCTTTTGATAAACCATTATTTAATTCTTTGGAGGCCGATGTAGGGAAGTTCAAGATCAGTTGATTCCACGGATGACTCGAAAATTTAACAATATTCAAAAATTGGGTAAAAACATCTGAAACAAACGGAGTGGGTATAAAGTAATTAAATTAAATATTTATAATTAATTTTTTTTATCTAAAGCGCAGCAAGGCTTATAATTAAGTCATAAATTTATTTGGATTTTGAACTTAGTTATTAATTAAAGATGTTGTCGTATTAGAATTAAAAGTGAAAAAGCTTGTGGAAGTTTATTTAGATTATTTAAGTGTTGATTTGGTAGAATTAAAACAAATTATATCTCTTGTAAAAATACAGTCTCCAGATTTTTTCTCATATCGCACACGTAGCAATTTTAAAGAAAATAAATATTGAATGTAGGAGTGCGCGCGCGCGTGTATGTGCGCTCTATAACAGTCTTATATTAGATGGTTAACAATGCTATGATACCAATTTATCCAAACACACATATAGCCTACATACTTCTCGCTATTCAGATAACTAATTACGAAAGCTAATCATCATTTTCAGTACTATAAAGAATAAATATCTACATAAAACTACACTTCACGACAAATTATCTGTATTGGCTATTTAAATATGGTACACGAGAGATATTTGGATAAAGCTTTTTTTGATAATAATGCTCATCACTGAAAAAGAGCTACTGAGATCATTCAGTTTCATACTCTAATTGAAAAGTTTGCTAAAGCAATATATAGAAGAAAAAATATCTGAAAAATAGATTTTCATTTTAGAAGTTTTTGCCGGGACAGTATCAATAAAATTTAAATTTTCATAATTAATGTGAATTTATTTGTATAAAATTCACATTTTCAATAGCAGGGTCAATCAGGTTTTAATTCGTTATTGTTTCCACCCTCGCTTAGCTAGGGTGCAAACGCTATCAGAAACAAGAACCTCCTTTTTACCAGACTAGTATCATAATATATTATATTTCACGACCAATCGTAAGCCAGAGGAAATAGTCATAAACCAATTTGAAAAATGTAGTTTATGTTATGACAGTACGTGAATAATAAATAAACCAGATTTATGCTTGATTTTTCTTGCAAAAATTATTGATAATTGAACATTTGTTATCCTTCTAAATTAGAAACGACATGTGAAACAGATAGGAATTGCACAATTCTTATAAATTCCGAATGCAAGGACGGTATATGCACTTGTAAGAAATATTTCTTTGAGCAAGCCGAGCAATGTGCAGCAGGTAAGACCTTTTCCTATCTATTAGTTGAGAATTTTTGACGAGCGTGAATTTTATTTTATATAGGACTGGGCGCGGAGTGTAAGAAGAACGATGAGTGTCAAAGAAGGAATTCGGATTGCCAGAACAGCAAATGCGCTTGTAAGAAATATTTCTTTGAGCAAGCCGGGCAATGTGCAGCAGGTAAGACCTTTTCCTATCTATTAGTTGAGAATTTTTGATGAGCGTGAAATTTTATTTTATATAGGACTGGGCGCGGAGTGTAAGAAGAACGATGAGTGTCAAAGTATAAATTCCGAATGCAAGGACGGTATATGCACTTGTAAGAAATATTTCTTTGAGCAAGCCGGGCAATGTGCAGCAGGTAAGACCTTTTCCTATCTATTAGTTGAGAATTTTTGATGAGCGTGAATTTTATTTTATATAGGACTGGGCGCGGAGTGTAAGAACAACGAAGAGTGTCAAATAAGCGATTCTGAGTGTCAAGAAAAGAAGTGTACTTGTAAGAAAACTTTCTTTGAGTTTCATGGAAAATGTAATGCAGGAGGTGAGACGCCTGTTGTCCATCTAATAGTGACTCATTTTAATTCTATATTTGTTTTTTCATAGGACTGGATGCGGAGTGTACGACCGACAATGATTGTCTAATAAGAGATTCTGAGTGTCAAGAAAAGAAGTGTACTTGTAAAAAAACTTTCTTTGAGTTTGAAGGAAAATGTAATGCAGGAGGTAAGACGCCGGTTGTCCATCTAATAATGACTCATTTTAATTAAATATTTGTTTTTTCATAGGACTGCACGCAAACTGTACGACCAACGATGAGTGTCAAATAAGCAATTCTGAGTGTCAAGAAAAGAAGTGTACTTGTAAAAAAACTTTCTTTGAGTTTGAAGGAAAATGTAATGCAGGAGGTAAGATGCCTGTTGTCCATCTAATAATGACCCATTTTAATTCAATATTTGTTTTTTCATAGGACTGCACGCAGACTGTAAGACCAACAATGAGTGTCAAATAAGCAATTCTGAGTGTCAAGAAAAGAAGTGTACTTGTAAAAAAACTTTCTTTGAGTTTGAAGGAAAATGTAATGCAGGAGGTAAGACGCCGGTTGTCCATCTAATAATGACTCATTTTAATTAAATATTTGTTTTTTCATAGGACTGCACGCAAACTGTACGACCAACGATGAGTGTCAAATAAGCAATTCTGAGTGTCTAGAAAAGAAATGCACTTGTAAGAAATATTTCTTTGAGCTTGACGGGCAATGTGCAGCAGGTAAGATCTTTTATTCCTATCTATTATTTGAGAATTTTTTATAAATTTGAATTTTTTTTTATGTAGGACTCGACGCGGAGTGCAAGACCAATGATGACTGTAAAAAGGAAAATACATTTTGTCATGAGAAAACGTGTAAGTGTGAACCAAAGTTTGTGGTTATACCAGACAAGGAGAAATGCCTTCCTCGTAAGTAGTTACTATTCAAACATAAAGATTTTTCAGCTAATCTATTGAGGTTTTGACAATACATATTTTATTTTTCTCAAAGAATCACAGTATAATGGAACCTGTGAATACAATATTCAATGTTCATCGGTTGTGGAAAATACATTCTGTAAGATAACTGGGCAATCATCACACTGTGACTGTATCGAAAAGTACAACTACAAAGACGGAAAATGTAATTCTTCTACGGTTGCACAATCGATGTTATTCCTTGTGATGCTTGCAGCACTTTTATCAAAATGTCTACTGTAAGAAAGTCTAAATTAATTATTTGAATTTATGTGAATATGTTTTTAAAGATTACTCGGTTGTAATCACTAATAAATTTGTAAAACTTGCATTATTATCTATTTGCACCGTCCCGTAAATAAAATGTCATTGGATACTATTTACGTCAAATTGGTGAGTGATAAACATATTCTATTCATTTATTATTGCATGTTAATTAATTGAACGTTATTGCTATTTTTCTATTATGTAATTGTCATTACACTGAGTCAAACATTATTATCATTAATTGAATATCCCAATTTCCTAATGCTCATGAATTCGAACGACCTTATTTAAACTGTTTTATACACGGTTTGTATCCTAGTAATAATAAATTATATTTCTAAGATACATGTTGATTTTTATTTCAGTTATAACCATTTGTCAACATTTAAATATTTCTCTATCACAAGTTAACTACTCGTTAATTTTGATCTATTTGTACAATAAACCTTTTTTTCATAATTTAATATTAGTGCAAAATCTTTTTTATATGCTTAAACTATTGTAAACATTGCTTTATCTCAAGCATCAAATTTTTATTTTAACTTTTAGCTATATCTTGAAAACAGCGCAGCATTACAAAGAATTTAAATACAAAGGTTTGCCTCACACCTCTTGTAACATTACAGCAAAAAAGAAATAAAAATGATAAATAAAGGTAGAATCAACATCGATTAACTTTTTTGATGTGCAGGTGTAGATGATGAGTACTCAAAATTTGACATGTGTTTCACACCGAATGCTCACTACGTATAACGTAGCATCCGTCGTTCAAAGCATATATATTCATTTATGGAGAATTAAATTAGTTATTAATAATATTGCGCTGCTTTATAGTTATTATTACATTATTGACGTCAAAATATTATTGTAAATAGTGGATTGTATAAAAAGTTTCTGCTGCGAATAATGGCGATCACAATAATCATAGGTGACCTCGATAATCTGTGAAAATTGAATTAGAATCTAAATGCTGAAACAAACAGCATTCGAACATCTATACCTAAATTTGAGAACAAGGTATTAATAAAACATATTTTTATAAAGCTTTGTAAGTCAATAAAAAGAATAGGCACATACAAACTTCTCTGGACTACGAGATTCTAATACAAAAATTTAGGGTAATCAACAATACGGTATTTAACTTTTCCCTCCATGATTTCTCATTCAGTCGATTGTTGACACGTCTGAATCCTTTGTTTATATTTGTTCAATCGCGACGTTTCAATGAAAATTAAACTGTTCATGAAAGCTTAGTTGTTTTCACGAACAGATTTTCGAGTTAATATGGTTACAAAATGATTCTTTTTGTAACAATTGAATCATTTTATTGAAAAAGAAATAATTTTGTAATAAAAGTATTTACTCAAAAAATGCTAGTGTAACTACAACATTTACGGTATAATATTTGCACGTAAAACGCTTATTGTCATCGCATCCCTTGTTACGAAAATTATTAATGAAACATTCACAAATTTTGGTATTCAAAAGTTTTCTTGAAATTGAAATTAGAATTGAAACTTAATTTGAGATTTAATCATAAAGATCGCGGTTAATGATTGAAATGACATTATTTTTAAAAATATGAGGAATCACCGTTATCAGTTTCATAAGATAAGGCAACGAAATTATTTTCATTATCTATTTTATTGCAAAACAATGAATCCCCTTTATATACTTTACAATCTGAGGAGATACAATTCTTTTTCTTCAAATAGATTAGAAAAAATATATATTGTACATTAAAGGCAGAAACACTGTAATAAATCCATTTTTATCATTACACAACATTATACAAAAATTCAATAGAAATTAAACATAGTTCATCAGAATTTCTATTATAACATTTGAGAAAGAAAATATGTATACAGGAGTTTCTTTCCTACATCAGTAAATTATTATGAAAACAAGTGATGTAATAAGAAGTTTATTGAAATGTAAATTTTGTCAAAAGAAAAATATCAAAACATAATTGTCAAAAATTACACAATCTAACCATCTATTCCAATTATAAAAGATTAAGTTTTTCAAACTAAGCAGTTAAAAATTTGTTGCAATTATTCATCAAATTGTTGTAATCAAGCCGATAATGAAACGTGATTAGTTTGCGAATATATATCCATTCGAATGAGCCTAAAATCATTAAAATCAGTTGAAGGGTTTTGGAGATCTGCACAAGCATGAAACAATTATGGTTAAAAACATAATCTCCTGTTGAAATGTCTAAAAAGAAATAATTATCTGCATCTCAATCGAATAAAAAATGTAGAATAACTTGATGTTACTTATCGTTTATTTATTTCAAATATGAAAGCTCACTGAAATACACACACGCGCGCGCGCGCACACACACACACACACGCACACGTGCGTGTGTTTGTGTGTAATTTTAATATTCTTTGATATTTGTAGTTTTGAAAATATGTTTTAAATTATCTATTCATACTCATAAAAATTATATCATTATATTATTTTATTTATAAATAATATAATTTATATTATATAAATTATATAAATATATAATTATATAAATTATATAAATATATAATTATATAAATTATATAAATATATAATTATATAAATTATATAAATTACATAAATTATATAACTCGCATCGCTCGGGCGTAAACGCCACACGAGACGAGAATCTACTTTCCCGCACTTGTATCGTAATATACTATTCTGATTCTATGATGCCTACTACCCAGATAACATTGTGGTGGCACGTTGCCGTCAGAATGCAAGCACGGCGTGACTTTCATGCCAGCACAATGACGGCCAAGTACATCCGCATCGGGACAGCATTATGCGAGCACACCGTGGAAGTCACGGCGTGCGTCTATAATACCAGCATTGTGCCAGCGTAGATGAATAATATAATTTTTCGCGGCATGCACGAATAGTGCCGACATTATGCCTTCCCGTTCTGCTGCACGAAATGCTTGCTGAATGCACGCATTGTGACGGCATTTTGAAAAAATTTATGCTGTATATTATTATTATTATTATTGGTTTTTAAATAAAAATACACATTTTGAAAATTTTATTTATTATTTTTTATTATAGATGTAATAAATTAACTTTTACAAGCATCACCTATTCCTTGAGTCACGACAGCAACCAGATTTGGATTGATATATTTGTATAAAACTGACCGATCACTCAACACTTGACCCTGCAAATGAACACATAAAATTCAGAAAACTTTTAATAAAAAAAATTATTGAAGATAAAATAAAATATATATGTACTTAATATGTAGTACCAAAGAACGTAGTTGCGGAGTCATGAAAAATCGGCATTTCGTTCTCCAGTCCGTGTATTTCCTCCGTGTCGCAGTTTACTTTGTTATCTGATAATTCCTATGAGTCCTCCTCTTGATATTGGTCCTCTTCAATCGCTTGGTCTATGGAGAAAAAAGTCTTTTTATTTATATTTTTAAAAATATTGTTATATATTCCTTTCCAAAACCGTTAAAAGTATTGCTAGGTGACTTGTTTTAGTTTAGTTGATATATTGTTGTATGTTGTTAGTTGATTTAGTTTATATGTTGTTTACGTTAAATAAATATATTTATTATTTCTCTTATAAATAATTGTTATTTTATTTAATTACACTAGTGTATACTATGTGTTATAGTACACTATAACATGTATGTAAGATGGGATCCATTAATCTTTTATGAGGGTAATACTTAAAATTATGTACCTTCTAAATTAGGCTCCATCTTCTGACCCTCGCCTTCCTGCCTCTGCTATCTACCTTGAACATTCAGCTTCCGTTGTAATCGTTCTTTTAGACTCTTCAAGGTCTTAGTAAACGTCAAGTCAACGATTGCTTCAGTGGGTATAATAAAATGGGTGTTCTTATTTAAAGCATCTGTAAAAATATTGTGCAAATAAGATTCTATAACTTCACGCTAATTACGAATTGAAAACATGTATATATACGTAAAATAATAATTTCAACATTAAAACAAATAGGATTTGATTATATTTACCTTGACAGGCGTTAACGAACATTGTTCCCTTCAACGTTAGCTGATTAGGCTCCTTTCCTTTGTAAATTATGCCATTAACTATATTTTCGTTTATATCAATGGCCTCCAATAAATATTTTGAGATACAATCCTGGATATTAAATCCTCCTAAATAACGGAAATAAGCAACCTGTAAATTAGTAGAAGTAAGAATGATAATATTAATTGTGTAAACAGACAACTGGTTCATATTTGCACATGCAATTTCATCGTAGACGCTGTTTGAAATATTGATTAATTATCCTTCGTCAAACCTTAATCTTTCTTTTTTTACAATCATTCTATGAAGACCATTTTTATTATAATTATTAAAACTATTTTATTAATAAAATCCAATTCATTCAATAACATTTAAACAATATTCGACGACAAATGCAAAAATAAAAATGTACGTGATTGACATTTACTCAAACCTAACCCTTCAGAGTTTAGCTTTCGCATATATCCCTCGCCGTGCGCGACGAATATCATGTAGGCTAAATCTTTGACTTATTTTATCCTCTAGTAGAATTTTTAAGAAAAATGTTAATAATTTTTATATTTACTTACTTTTATTTCAACTGCAACTCCACTACACAAGGAACACTCTCACAATAATTTTACGGTTTAATAGCAG